AGGCTCGGAGATTTACTGCTAAAGAGGATCCCGGTAAAAGCAGGTCGCCCTCCCTCCACCTGTCACTACGTGTTTGCTCAAGGTCCCCGTCCAGTCGCTTGTGTGGGACAGTAGTGGGAGTCACTCTGCAAGGCAAAAGAGGGCCCTGCCCTGCGTAACTCACAGATTCAGAACTTTAGAAAGTGCCGCAATGAAGGAAACTTTATTCCCAGTTATCGCTTTATGCATAACTTGGATGAGGTAGGACAGGGTTGGTGAGGCAAAGCCAGGCCGATGAATCCCAACCCTTCTGCTTCCTTCCTGCAGGACCTGCCTGCACTGGGCCTGTAAGCGGAACCATGCCCAGGTGGTGTCCTGCCTGCTGGAGGCTGGTGCAGACAAGCACATCCTTACTGCTGAGGGAGAGCTGGCGGCGCAGCTAACGTCGAAACCAGACATCCGCAAGATTTTGGGAGGTACAGTTCCCATTTTAAAAATCATCTAGAATTCTTGGTGTAAACACTAAAACGTTTTTAGTGCTTTTATCTGAAGCAGTAATTGGCGAAACCTTAGCTAGGACCATTGTATCTCATTAGATAGCTCTGATTTATAACTGGAATTCATAGTTGGGCAAATAAATGTGGAGATTTCAGGTAGGAAGGCCTTGTGTTCTGAGCTGTGTCACCAAGAAGTGGAAGAGCTGTATGCTTTGGGAAGTGTGCTGCTGCACTCCTGTTTGCTGTTATTAAGCTGCCAATAGGGGGTTTCATGATTGTACAGTTTGCTGTGGTCTGACCATGATCAATACTACAAATCCCCTCAAAACAGTTTTATCACTCAGGAAGTTATGTCTTCTGAGCTATTTGTTATAGTGTGGCTTGCTGGTATGGTTAATTTTTGCCCTGTAATTCTGCCATCTTACACTTTTCATATGCACAGCAAACCCAGTTAGATGTGTGTGACACTCCTGAACAGCATCCAGGTACTGTGCTCCAGATAAAAATTCTAAAGTGCTTTACCTTTGGAAATGTGCTGTCTTCTGCAATTGAACTTAAATTGCTCTCTGCAGTGATCTGCTCTTACAACAACAGGGCAGGGTTATCCTTCACAAGGTTGCAGCTAAATCATGACTCAGGTTCCAACAGTTAAGCCTGAAGGAATGGCATGTTCTTACATGATGCTTTTGCTTTATTTTGGGTGCAGTGTGGGCTTAGTTTGTGGCAAACGACTCACCCATTTTTAACATCTAAACTGTCAAGCACACGTAGATGAACTCTGTTCGTAGTTGTTTTATCTTTCTGTCTGTGAAGCTTTCATGTGTTTCCTGGGGAATAAACACATATCACTTACCTTTTCTCCTAGTTTTTATTCTGGGAGTGAGGTATCATTTAGCAGATCTTTCTGAACTGCTTTGACATCACTATTTATGTTCTGTAATCCTTAGGCAGGAATGTCACTTACTGCAGTGCTTTTATCCGAGAGTTGAGTTTGTTTTGGTATTACAGCAAGTAGTCACTTCTTTGAAGAAATACTGGGTAAAATTTGCTGGCCTAGGTCATAATAAACTATTTACAGCTGTGCTATTAAGAGCATTTTAAAATTAGATTCAATAAAGGAGTACTGGTCATCCAGTTCATTTGAAAGCGCTGGAACAACACTGCTAGAAATGATGTGTCTTTCAAAGGTTACTCCCCCTCCCATTCTGTTATCAAAAAACAGAATATACTGAAGACATTTATAGGTTTTTTTTTTACTTAACAGCTACTGGCCTCCAAGTGTCACATGCTTCTGGAACATTAGTGTCATTCTTTGATGAGCGTGGAATGTGATATAGTTTCAAGACATAGGAAAAATAACTATATTCAAAATGAGAAATATCTATCCAGTAACATGATGGATTTTTTTCTCTCTCCATCCCCTACCCCTCATTTTTGAACTTCATCAATAGAGGAACAAACTGAATGTCAAGGAGTGAAGGATTTAAATTTATCCATTGTTGCGAACTACTTGGCCAGCCCATTCCCTAACATTTACACCGAAGAAAGCATTCCAGGCACCTTGGCAGAATCCCAGAGTGAAAGTGCTTCCATCTCTTCTGCTTCCCAGAGTGAAACTAGCCCTTGTCCATCGGCAAGTCAGCCTGAGAGGATCTGCATGCCCACATCGTGCAGCAGCAGCAGCAGCAGCAGCAGTGAGATTTCCCCAGCAGCGGATGCAGCAGCCCGGGCACCCCCCGTGCCCGCCGTCCCTGCCAGCCCAGGGGTGCCCCACGGTCCCGGCTGCCCCCCGGCCACCACCCCCAGCCTGGGGCTCTGCTCCCCAGGAGTGTCCCGCCAGGCCTTGCCTCTGCAGCCTCACAGCTCCCCCAGCAGCCCCACACCCACCTTCCAGCCCTTCTTCTTCACTGGAACATTCCCATATAACATGCAAGGTAAACAGGTGCTGGGTCTCATAGTTCTGTTACAGTTACTGGGTGAAAAATGAAGTTAAGTAATCATTTCACTTCAGACTCTAGTAGAATAGAGGCAGAGATGTTGAATTCTGTGGCCAAAAGTGCTCTGAACTTTCTTCGGCTCAGTTATGTAAAATGTCTGTTATACTGCATTTTAACCATGGTAATACTTTGCAAAACAATGGAAAGATCAGTCCACGTAACATGAGCATGTAAATTTTGCACTACATTTGCATCAAATGCAGCTCTGGTAGTTTGGTAACAACTCAACTCAGTGACTGAATGGATCGGTTTCAACAGTGTTAACATGGTTCTCCTGTGTATTTTTGCTGGAAGCTTCTGTTAACTGCATAGTATTTCTCAGATCATAGGGATTTTATTAAAAAGCATGAATTCAGAAGATAATAGTAAATACTGTAAATGTTAGTTTTGAGTTTGTTGTCTTTTCTGTTGTTAACCTTTTAATTGTTTCTCTGTCAGAACTTGTACTTAAGGTCAGAGTCCAGAACCTGAGAGACAATGACTTCATTGAGATTGAACTGGACAGACAAGAATTGACCTACCAAGATCTGCTCAGAGTGAGCTGCTGTGAACTGGGGGTTAATCCGGAGGAAGTAGAGAAGATCAGAAAACTACCCAATACACTTCTAAGAAAGGTAAGAATAGAAACGAGAGATTAACTTGACTCTTCACTTTGCAGACCTCAGAGAATGTATTTTTGCAAAAAGATTGGCAAAATGTCACTTTTGTTGAATAAAAACTGACAGATTCAAAGCGATGCTGGACCTTTCTTAAAACTTCATCATAACTTGTTTAAAAATAGTCTCGTGGAAATAGGCAGAGTATTTTAGCTCCTAAAGCATATGGAACTATTACAGCTTGACTTTTAAAAAATGTATCAGAAACAGTGCATTTAGGGTGCTTCAAAAGGACGTAATTGCCAACTACTTCACTGTCTGCTTGCCTAAAAAGAATTAACAGTAGGGGGAAAAACTCCACAAATTGGCATATGAAGAACTTAAAGATAATGCTGTTAACAAATGAAACTGCTCTTCTGTTCCAAAAATGTAGATTTCAGAGGTCTGTAGATGAAAGTGGTCACAAGTCTTGGTTAAGTGACATGCAGTAATGAAATTAAAGGAGAAGAAAAAGTTTGAGGAGAAAAACCAAACAAGCAAACCTGCTACACTTCTAATGAGTGTATGTTGGTAGGATTTATTTTTTTAATTCTTTATTGCTATTATTGGGGATGATATCCCTGGAATTTTTAGTTTTTAATTATATATTGCTGTTACTGGGAACGATGTCTCTGGAAATTATAGTTATTTTATAAATAACAACCAGCTAGTAATAACAGGAGTAATAATGTTGTTCTCTCTGTTCCTTACAAGGACAAGGATGTTGCCAGACTCCAGGACTTCCAGGAGCTGGAGCTGGTGCTGGTGAGAAGTGAGAGCTCTCCTTTCCGGAGCGCTGCGGCTGCGCTGCTGGAGCAGCCGAGCTTCCACAGCAGAGCATCCAGGCTGACCTACTGACCCTGGCAGCTGCAGGGGAACACCTGCCAGTGACAAGTGCTGCCCTTTGGAAGGCAGTGATTTAAGTGTGTGTAAAACCTTAAGTTATTATTAGGGTTACTATTTTAACTAATATTTTATATTTAATATCCTGTTTGCTTTTATTTTTTTACTTGATACTGTATTCAGGCAAGAGATACCTCATTTGTCCAGTAAAATCACAGGTTTCCAGTGTATTTGAAGTTTATTGGTTGTATCTGGCAGTGCAGGGCACGAAAGATGTAAATTATTGATATGAAAATTTTGTTAAGTACACCCACTCTGACCAAGTAAGACTCATAGAAAGATTCAGGACATTGTCTGTCTCTGTGTGTACTTGCACATTAAATTAGATGAAAGAGATACATAATGGATAGTTGCTCTCTGAAAATATGAATGTGCAAGTCCCTAATCTCTTGTCCCTCATAAATACTCACCAAGATGGTTTGTCTAGAGATACTTAAAGCTCAGAAGTGGCAGGAGAAATCCTTTTACTGGGCTGAAAATAACTGGAATAAGCACGTCTGTATTTAAATGTTTATTTCCCCTGTGAGAATATTGTACCTCCACCAAAAAATATGAAAGCCTCTCTTAAATGTTCCTACTGAGAGTCCTTTCAAGAGAAAGCCTTTGTTTCAGATGGGGAGGGACCCCCAATCCGTGTCTGTGGTTTTATTTACTTTCTTACCGCTGTGAGCCTGTGCATTGCTCACACCAGGTGTCAGCACTGTGAGGCAGGAAAGCTCTCTGTGGCCCTCCCCTGTACACCAGTTCCAAGGGAGGTGGTTGTTTCTGCCCTGTGAGCAGCACAGCAGGGTCCTAACGAGAGATCACAGGTGGAAGGAACATAGAAGGCTTTTATAACCCACTAGATGGGAAAAACACCACTAGTAAGTAACTAACTTGTAACTTTACATCCTGCACAGTCTGCTGTCACTGGTGAGTATTGAAAGGGCTGAATGTCTCCAGGTGCTTTCAACTTTTTTTTCCCCCTCTTCTTTGTGGGGAGTGAAAAAAACATAACTCTGGTTAAGCTACAGACTGTTTAACTTGCATTTAAGCAAGTCAGTAATGAAAAAATTCACCTGTGGGTTAAAATACTTAAGTAAGTCACAGCATTGCTGGAGTATTAAACAGCCTGAAGCTTTCCTATATTAACATGGCAGCCTGGAAAGTAACACTTCTGGAGGCTGTTTTCTTTTTTACCAAAAAATACAATGCGGACCTTTGCACCAAAACCCTTAAATGGGTCCTGAGGTGGGTGGAGGGCTCAGGGATTTGCTTTTTCTGCATGAGCTCCCCCTTTTTCTGCTCCCCCTTTCCTCCCCTCCACCCCAAACTATTGATTTTCCTTCCATTTCTGCTTTATGAAGCTTCAGGCAGTTTCTGCACAGCTGATGGGTGCTGTGTTTGTTGTTGGTCTGGACTGCAGTGCTGACAGACTATAAACAGTACAGCACCGTGTTCCAGCAGAAGCAGCATGGCTGCCACCCTCCCCGTGTTCTTGCTTTAGCCTGGCAGACTCTCTCAAGCTGCTGCACACCGAGAGAAGACAGAAACCCTTCCAGCAGAGATACTTGACTCTGGGCTCAGGATTTCACCAAGTTACTTAAGCTTAAAATTCTTGCTTATTTCTTTCAAAATAATTATTGTCCTTTCCTAAAATTCTTGCTTATTTCTTTCAAAATAATTATTGTCCTTTCCTCCATGTTCCACACCCATCACCTCACCTCTGCTAACTTCCCATTCTCAATCCTGGCTTTTCTCCAGCCAGGAGCTGAGAGAACTAGTTATGTTTAATGCCAGATTCAACTCCTGGGAAGCTCAAGACTCTGACACAGTATGAAGTAAAAGTTCTTAACTAAGGTTCCTGCTTTGTTTTTCTTGTAAGACAGGAAAGAAAGTTCTATTTTAACAATTGTGTATTTATCTCTCCAGCATAGCTTGGAGGCTAGCTTAGATTATGTGCAATAACTGTGTGAAAAACAGTAGTGGTTTAATGGTTCAAAATTAGTAAGAGTATCTAATTTGTTTCCAGTTCCTTTATTTAGGAAGTCAATGTAAGGACTGTCTCCACTAATTACTGAGCATTCTGCTAGAGGGCAGCTGGTTTAAAAAGCTTTATTTGTCTAGTTTCCACCAAGAATAACTGTTATGTGTTAAGAGTTAAACTCATAAATCTGACTGTAATAACACTATATCTATGCATTCACAGAAGTATTTTTGTATGTTTTATGCAGTTTGATAAACTCTAATGCACACTTGTTATGTTAGCTGGTTTTTGCTGGGCTTTTTCTTTAAATGATGAACTGTTGGAATGATAACTGAGATGAAATTTACAAAACTTACTGGTTTTCCAAGGATGCCTTTTGTTTGCACTACAAACTTGTACTGAACTGACATTGCTACTCTTCACTTAAAATAAAGTATCAGTCATTTGAAGTACTTTGAGCTCTTCCTTTTTCAGGGTAGGGAGTAGAAGGATGTGAGGAGGATAACTCTAAAGTGGACAGGACACTTTAAATTTTAATGCAACTCTGAAAAATCATAGGCCAGTACACTTTTAACACCTAATAAAGGCTGTCAGGCTGTCAAAACCAGTACAGAGAAAGCATGTCAGAGGTGCTTACTGAAATCAGCTACTTTTGCCTAGCATTCCTAAAAAATCTGGGATAGTATTTATCCTGGGCTTAAGCTCTGAAGATACTTCTCACAAAGATGAATCTCTGTGGAGATGTCTGAACAGTCAAATCTGGAGGCAGAAAGGTGCTGTTTCCTATGCTCTGCAAAACAGAATTTTCCTTCATCTTCAAAGCACTAAAGACTCCCCTAGAGACATGTGAGAATCTGAATCCCAGGCTAATCTACGAGAGATTTTATCATTTTTAGGTTCCTCATTTTATCATTTTTACTTTTGCAAAGTAAGGGGAAATGCAAATCCTGTAACAAAGAAGTGCAGTGGAAGGTACAAGACAAACATTTTCACTGCTGAAAGAGGCTGAGTCCTGTCTCCCAAGTTTCAAAAGGAGGAGGTGTTCATCTAATGTCTCCAGTTAGAATTTAGTTATAATTTCACTTGCTCCCACCTTATTTTTTCCCAAAACCACCACACTCAATCTCCATCCCCTGTGCCCGTGTCTGGTTTAGAATAAAAGTCAAAAAAAGCAACATGGCTGTCTACATGTGGTATCAAAACCAGCACTAGTGACCAGAGCAGACGCAGATTCCTCCCAGGTGCACTTCCACACACAGGCCAAATAAATCAGCATAAGTTACAATGGTGTTCTGTCCATGTCTGACTTTGGTTACACAGTCAAGGCCTGAATACTAATGGAAAAGATCATGCTCTTATTAAAGAATGTAAATTCATTGCCTTACAGCCAGAGCACTGACCAGCACACAATGCAGTTCTTTTGCAACAAGAACCACTCCTGCTTGCACTACAGCTTCCCAGGGAAGCAGGAGCACAGTTCCCTGCCTGTGTGTCTGTTCTGACCAACAGCACAGGGCTGTTAA